CACTCTACGTGAACTCTACTCTGAGCTCAATAAACTGAAGAACTTGCTATATACCACCAGTAACTCTACGGCACTCCAACACTTCGAATGTTCCATCGTGGCAGAGATACTTATCGGCTATCTTGACATCCGTGGGGAACGCTACGGCCGTTTCTGTTAGAAAGAACCTTCTCTCTACCATGGTACGCTTGAAAGCAGCCCTGGTCTGTGATTCATCCGAGCGGTATGCAGGGAGGACCAAAATCGCTCTACCTCTTCCACTGAGGCACTCATCAATCGCTACTGCTAGTTGATGCGCCCCTTCCTTAGAATACAGCAGATCGCTTCCAATGACTAAGTCGAATTTTCGCCCCCAGGGCAGGGGTCCACTGCCCAGGTGAATCGTTCAACAACAGGGACGGTCATTAGAGAGCTTTGCAGTGCGATGACGTTATAATTAAGATTCTTTATAGTGCGTTCATTGCCATCAGTGAGGAAGATACTAGAGGGTGAGAGGAAGGCCGCAACTGCGAGACCAGCAATGCCACAGCCAGATCCCAGTTCCAGTACGGACAGTCCTGAGGGCAAGTCTATGGAGAGGAGGTACCTACCATAAAGCCTTCTGATAGGGTGAGGGGTCCAAAGGGCACTGCTACCTAGCGAGAACGATCCCAGATTCCCACACTCGAAGGCCACACTGGGAGTCCTGGAAGACATCACTACACCGCAGACCAGGAGACAGCACCTACCCAATGTAAACCTGGTCAAGGACTGAGGAGTGAAGACCGGCTCATCTCCCTCTACTACATGCGATGCGCCTAGGTCTATCTCCCGCACTCCTAACATGCCCGGTGCTGATCCATGTACTAAAGGCATTGAAAACTGATAGAACAACAAGAAGACAACTCGGCAACGCAATTCACCCTATCAGAGATCACACAAATACGTCTACTATCAATACACCATAGTGGCGTTATGATATGTACTTATCCTTGTGCTCGATCAGTAGCCTAGCACTACTCTTCGCATCAAAGAACAGCCCATCGATCTCCTCTATGTCGCTCTTCTCTACCCTATTCTCCCTACCATATGTTCCTGCCACCACCGCTGCAGGAGCCAACAGCTGTAGGCAATACCTACACCAACAACATCTACTACAACAGTACTACTACTACTGCTCACCTTAGACTCGTAGCATGGCCGACTTTCCCAAGGAGCTCCATAGCGTCCTCAGCTACACTCAGGCCTTCCGTCTGAGCCCTGATAGCGACGATTTGAACGATCTCATCCACCGAGTAAGGGAGAGTCCGAATGATGACCAGCCGGTCCAGAAGGTCAATAGGCATGCCATGAGGCGATACAATCTCGGTACCCCTGAAGAAGACAACAGTGTGCGGGAAATATGCACATTGTCAACTGCATGTGGACGCTGATATGAAAATTCGTGAGAAACTAAGTTGAATTCCTCATTGCTTTCTATATACTTCTACCCTAAGTCTTGAGTAAACTCTTATAGTAAGAGAGAGGAACTCTTCTCAACTCAGCTGAGGGAAGCGAACGTATATTCCTCTAACACTGGAAGCCCATACGGCCATAAGTCCCACCTTATAGTGCATATACCTCTATTCGTAGCGAATACAATAATAGGAGATAGAGGCGACTCCAGGACACGGTTTAGATACCTGGGGAAGGCTATATGTACGGAAGAAGTGAGAATGGTGTGGTATTACGTGAAACACTCAATGTCCAGCATGTGTACCTCATCAACAAAGAGCACGCCTGGGACCAACTCCGCAATGCCTTGATCAATGTATCGGTTCACCACCTGAGCCCCTATCCTCTACCCTCCACTGCCTCCCTGACAGACTACCTTATTAATCTCAGCTCTCAGTTTATCAGTAACCTCAGTCTTCCTCTGACGGAAGAACTGTCCCATCACAGAGGCGATATCATTTCCCCCTTGCGGCCTCGCATTGGCCATGTCCAAGTCGTGCAAAGTAACATCCTGGACTACCTCCTTCTTTTTGTGAACATCCCCTTTGGGAACCGGTACATATCTGTTCATGTGAGAATCCAAGGTTGAAGCATGGAAGATACGAAGGAGGTTAGAAATTACTCTTCGGCCTCCAGATCGAATTCAGTTGCATAGCGATCGCTCCTTCCCACCCTCTTCACCGCACCAGAATTAGCTTCTATATAAATAACATCCCCCACAGATACCTATCAGCAACCCTACATTTCCCTACTACTACCACTACCCTCTACTCACCTTCTCCTTGGTGAGCTGCTCGTGGATGGAAGGCGCCAACTTGAGAGTCTTCGAGCCCTTATTAGTCTTCAACCCCAACTGGACCTGGACCACAACAGCTACTACTCGTAGGAGCCAGTGGTCACTACAGATGACACGACTTTGCCGTAGCCTCCCAAAGGGTCGGGCTTTTCCTCAGGGGTGAGTTCAGTGACCTCTCCCTCATACACCTCCTTGGTTTCCTTGATTCTAATGCCAATAGCCTTCCTACAGTTCTCCATAAGGATCTCTGTCTTCTTCACTTCAGAGCTGTACACCTCACTACCCACCATAGGGCAGAAGGGCACCTTAGGCCCCAACTCATGAGCAATAGCCAACGCAATGGCGGTCTTGCCAGTACCTACCACTCCTCTCTCAACTCTCCTCAACCCCTATGGTATTACCCGGTGCTCCTGCCATCAATAGAGCCCTACCAGCCATCTTCCTACTCTTGATCAAATCCACCACTACCCCAGCCGCCTCCCTTGCCTTCTCCTGGCCCACCAACCTAAACCACCTCTATTACTCTTATTATCATTACACTACATGAAACATAACTACACCATGTAGTATTACACTACACAAAAAAGCACTATTATTTTTACTAATGGTGACCAGCACCACTCTTCCCCTCACCCATTCGCGATAGGCTCCGCTGTTCCATCTGGCTTCAGACCGAGGCCCTTGATATGAGAATGACTCGCAATACGAGTAGAGTGCACGGTCGACTGAACTTCTTCAATCTTCATAGCCTCACAGACTACCACAACACTCACTACCAATAATGTGTCTGCCGCCCATATAACAACAACACCCTTCCGATGGAAACTGTTATTTGAATACTCTACGTCCTAGTCTGAGGCCGGACTTCTTCCTCCAGCTCCCCCTCAGAAGTAGCAGCAGGCTTACCACGGAAGGTTCGCGCCAAGTGCCTACCGTGCTCCTTACTTGATACCCTCTCAATACCACTCCTACCTGAACTCCTTATCCTCCTCAGTCACTTCCATCTCCTCCGGCTCGCTAGCCACCTCACCAGCAGTAGGGGTGTTGGCTGTAATCAAGAAGGAAAAGAGAGGTCAATGCTTCTGTGAGGCTTCAACTTACCCTCTCCAGTGGTGGCCTCAGCCCCTTCGGCCTTCCGAATCTCCTCCTGCATCAAGCGGAGGAGACACCTCTCAGTCTGCTTGCTCAAATGACCTGACCTTCGACGTCCACACGATTGGTATAATCGTCACAATACACTGTCCCCAATATTCATTGGAAAAATTCCCCGTACCGGGGATCGAACCCGAGACCTACTTGTCCGTTCAGCATACATTCGTCTCAAATCCCAATTAGGCCGACGTGGCAGAATCGATGCGCGGTTCTCCTGAAGAAAGTCAACATCTCACCTTCCCCCTACCAACCTTCCTCCCACCTCTATCTGGGCATAGTCCATGACTTGGTCCAACTCAGCATTCAACTCCTCTTCTATCGGCTCCGCTGACACTGGCTCCTTCTTCAAGTCCTTCAACGCCTCCGCTTGAGGGGTATACGATTGGAACCTCATCACCTTAACACTACATTAACCCCACTACTCCCCCCCCGCGATAACACGACCAAGCCGGGCACAGAAACTACGATTGGGCCCCACTACGACCGTGGGCTCTTCCCTGTTTCTTTACGGGGAGTGGCGTGCGCGGCCTCTAATGCCTTCGATAGCTTCAGTACGATTGGGTCATCCTTGGCTTCAGCAACTGCCCCTACAGAAGAGGTCTCCAGAAGTACCTAAGCCCTACCTCACAAGACACCAAGGCATCCTCAATGTCCTCACCTGGGTAGCATGTATCCACTTCTTCATATCCTCAGCCTCCGGCATTTCCTCTTCTGGACGACACCCGTTCCACAACGACACTATAATCTTCAAAGAGTAACTACAGTCGAGACACATACTTCCCCCCCGCCCATCATCAAATCTAACCGCATAAAACTTCCCCTACAATACTACGTGTGCTGCTCCTACAGTGCAATAGCAGTACTTGGAAAGAATGCCCTACAATATTTTTTCCCCAGAGTGAATGTTCATCCAAAGTAGTCCTCTACCTCAAGTCAGTATTGAGTTGCCTTAGCCCAGATTCGGTGATGATAGTGATACCACTATCGATCTCCGTGATGATGGTCTGAGCCGCTCTCCGGAATACTGCCGGCACCCACTGAGAACGGAGTACCTAACGCATACTACTCCAATAAGCATTCGCCATGCAACGCGCGGAAAAAACTCTCTTGCAGAATCGGAATAAGGGAAAAAATTATTTTCACCCTACTAACACACTATCATCAACTCCAGCGGCCAGCATGCTACTAAGTCACTCACATCATCCTCTCCTTCCTTAGCCTTCTTGCTCAGGTATGGTACGTATAGGAATAGTTGTTCAGAGAGGGAGGTGACACTAGCAGAGGGCATGGCCCCTCCTTGCTGCCCTCGACTACTACTACTTTCCGACCATACCGCCAGTGTACCTACGCAGCTCCTACCAACATCGACCCCAATAAGCGCTCCTACCATAGCCTTTCAAAATCCTCTTACTAATCGGCGAACACAGCCCCTCCACGATGAGTTTATTCACTCGCTGACAGACCTAAAAAGAAAAAGAGAATCCTCCGTGTCGTACATGTACATTAGCAACTACCTCATCAACAGCAGCAGTAGTAGTAGTCACCTCGTGCTCGTCATCACCATGAGCGATGGATGCCAAAATGACACCCACCGAGGCGTCCTCAACTTCCCCCTCCTCAGCCTTCTCACTCGCCTTCCTCGCTATACTCCTCAGCTGATTATTGAACTCCTCCGCGCCCACACGCAGGGAGCCCATGCTCTGATTCACCGACCTATACACCACCCTAATACCACCCAATCCCTCCCAAGGACTCCCCTACCGGCAATTCGCGAGCAGCGTAGAGAAATCAGCGTTGTCATCTCCCTGTGCCGAGTACATTTTAAACACCTTAGCCACCATCCCAGAGATAGAGCGATTTACGGTAGTATACCAAAATGACTCATACCTACTACCACTTACACGATGTGTATCAACATGCATAGCAAACTCACAGTTGATGAACTTCCTTCGACCACAGAGGAGCCAACGCTGCCGCACTCAGTGAGCCTTCGAGCCCAGCACTCCCCGACCTCACTATAGCCGTCTGGTATCTACCACCCATACCACCATACCCTCCAAAGGGCAATAGGGAGACCTTACTTCATCACCCTAGTCTCCAATGAGATGAGCCCATCAGCTAAGCTCAACCTACTCCTCCTTTCCTCCTCTACCTCCTCCATCTCCTCCTCACTACTCAGTGGATTCCTCACACCGCCACCTCCCTCAACAGGGAGAAACAGTCCCGGAACTAGGCTCTCTAGCAACTTGCTATCCAGCAACTTCTGAGCGCATATACGCGACCACCTACCATAAAACGCAACGTCACGCGCCACGAAATTCCCCATTGCTCACTCGTCATCTTCAAAGTGCATCTTCCGCTTCAAGTGATTAAATCCCCGTGATAGGGAATATAGGAACTCCCTGGGTCGGCCTGGTAGAGCCTTACAGCGCGGTGCCCACGGGCCGAATAACTGAAAATGATCACTTACCAAAAACCACCCATGATAACAGGTGTGGGAGAATTCGTTTGGTTTCCTCAACTGAGCTCGTGCGTTTTCTCACTACCTTACACGATTCTGGGTAGAAGTATATAAAAACCGACCTCAGAATTTCCATATTATCACCAACACATGCAGTTGACCGTGTGCATATTTTTCCACATTGATCATAACACTTGAAAGAATATCAATGCGCTGATAAAAGTATATTCTTTTCCCCTCAAAAGTAGAGATTGATAACGGGGAAGTAGGAACATCGACACAATTAGAACCCTTCTTACCTCCTTCGTAGCCGATAAGATGCACTTCCTCATCAACAGACCATCACCATCCTTCACACCCGCCAGCGTCTCCAGCCGCTCTACTAGGGCCTCCGCCAAGGCATGGAAGAAGCCGATGCTGACCTCCATAACTCCCACAACACACATCCTATCACCACTACTACCACCTACACCCCGTCCACTCCATCGTCCCCTCCCCTTCCCCCATCCTCCTCCTCACTATCCGACAACACTGCATCTACTCCCTCCAGATCACTGCTAGTTGCCGAAGATGACGATGATGACTGTAACTACTCCAACACCATAGCATGCACAGTACAACCCCCTCCCTCACATATGCCGTCCACTTCCTTTGAACCACAGTATTCATAGCAGCACACACCGCCTCCTCGAACTCCTCCAGACCACCCTTCCCAACATTCATATCATCTCGATATGCCTATTACCACAGTTCTATCGCAAACACACCCCCAAACTCTACTACATCATAACAAACTCTCAACTGCTTAGAATTGCATCTGTCAATAGCCGAGCCCACCTTCCTGCCATGCACACCAACTGTCACCACCTGTCACCACTACAACAACTACCTCCTAACTTCCCTCTGAAGGCTCATCTGCATCGACTCTATTTCTTGCCTTCGGTCTTCATAGTCCGGCAGCATCTTCAAGCCACCATCAAGGGCTTCCCTGATCTCCCCCATCTTCCCCTTAAACTCCCTAAACTCTCCCCTATGCAGCAGACTATCCAATTCCCTTATCTGAGATCAATGAAAAATGTGAAAGAAAACGGCATCGTTCCGTCATCATCATCACCCTCGCATCCCAATTATATGCCTCTCCCAGTGCAGTTCTCGCTGCCTGTAATTTCCCCTTCCCACTATCGACTTTAGCAATGAACAACTGCGTCTGGCGCTGCTCCTCCTTATCCCGACTGCCCAACTCCCCCACTAGTTTCGCCAACCTCCCCTCCCCCTTGGACACGTCCCCCTTCATGCATTGCAAATCATGCATGACAGCCGGTACTGCCGACATCAACTGTGAACTCTCACTATCTATCATCGCTGATGTCTCCTGGGCTAAGGCATTGAGGTTAGAATCTGACCAAGGTGTGGTATGGTTACTACTAGT